TAATAGTAACTATATATATATATATATATATATATATATATATATATATATATATGTGTGTGTGTGTGTGTAAAAATAATACACAACATATTAATAATTGGGTCGGATCAATATCAGATCCACCTATATCCGAATTCGATCTGAATCACTATTTATATACAAATTTCAGATTCGGATTTGACCAATCAGATCCAAATTTTGAATCCATACCTGGATTTAGATAGAAGCTAAAATTTGGGTTTTGGATCCAAACTGAGTAAATTCCCAACCCCACTATTTGTTTAAGATTTTCAACTTTGAATTGGGGTAGTTTGAGTATTTTTAATTAAATGTCTCTGTTTGTGACCACTATGGTTTTAATTAAAGGTGGCGTTTATATAAGGTGCCCATCTTATAATATACAAATAAAGTGTTTTTTCAAATTTTGTTAGAAGATACACTTTTGATATTGGAAACCCTTAAAATTTTATGTTCATTTCTAATTATAAAATTTGAAATTCTAAAAATACTGTAAATCAAACATACCTATAAACAGTTGAAAAAATCTAAAACACAGTAAATCCAGGTAACTTCGTACAAGAAACGTTATTTTAAAGATTTGAAATTATTATTATTTTTATATCTATACCTCGAGATAATTAATTAAAAGATTTTTAACTTATCGGCCGCATGTTATACATTGCAAAATCCACTGAAAAAATTAAACACTAAAAAGTAGAAAAAGGATATCTCACAGTCCACCATTGAAGTAACATGCCACTTCACATGAAAGGCCAAAGTCAATTCTAAATTGTACTTGTTTCCAATTGACATCGTACACAAAAGCCATTGGCGGTGGATGAAGAGCAATTTTTGTGTGGTGCTCGCCCTTTGTTTTGTTGTTGGTTGGTCCAATCATGTGATGCCAACAGTATATGCGGTCATGGATTCGAAATCTTTAAGTTTTGTCCCGTATGCCAACTAAGCTAATTTTACCGCACAAAAAAAAAAAAGGTTTATAGAAATGAAAAAGTTTATATAAAGTTTGCAACTTTATACTATTGAAGTAAGATACACCTCAAAAATCTCAAAAATCCTACAGTAGAGAGTTTTTCGGCATAAGAGAACCCTCAAACTGATCATCTTGACTTGAAATGACTAGATACAAAGAAAAACAAGAATTTCAAGTAAAAAAAATTATACATCTTGTAACAAGTTATATGGATCATCTATTTTCAAAATTTTTTATATCATTTTTTTAAATTTAAAATTTTATAACTCAACATAAAAAGAGATTTTGAAACAATCATAAGGTTTTCCACATTGAAAGGACATCTTTAAGTAAATTTTATGGGTGCATCTTACTTTTATAGTATAAGGAGGCAACCTTATACCAACTTCCCCCCTTACAAAAATATTGGTCAAAACCCCTTAAAAATAATTAAGCTATTGAATAAATAAAAATGAAAGACTTATTATTTAATGGTTTCAAACCCCTTGCAGAATCGCTGTCTGACAAAAAAAAAAAAAAATCTATCATTAAGGGGTTGTCATCTTAATTAAAGTAGAGGGTTAACTTTTTAACTTTTATTGTGCTACGACAAAAATATATTTGACAATACCCAAACTGCCATTCTTTAGGGTGGGGAAACTTAAAGAAGCCAGGGAATTTTGGTACTTGAAAGTATTATAATACTTATGTCGTCTGATTGGGGTCTCTTAGATGAATCAAATTAATTGATTGCTCCTGTTTTTTAAATATTTTTCAGAGATAACCTAAATGAAATAAAAAATTTAAAATAAACTCACTAATATCGATTTGGATTTTTTACCTTCTCAATGATTTGGTAAGGGATAATCTCATAACTCATTGAAATTTGCAATTCAAGTATTGGAAAACCTTTACATTGATCATCTCAGCTTGAACATTAAGGTTGTGAAAAAAATTTAGGATTTCAAGTTCTAAAAATACTTTATATTGTAACAAATTATCTAGACCGTTTATTTCACCGTAAAAATACGTGTTCATAGATCGGCAAGATCTATACTATTTTTTGAGTTTCAAATTTTATTAGCGGTATTGAAAATTAATTTTAGACCCATTATGGAGATTTTCATTTTCGAAAGAACATGCCGGACGAGGATTTTAGGTGCGCCTTTATTTTATTTTCATTAAGCCTAGGCCTTATAGAAACTTCATCCGATATTCCTTGGAAAACCAACATTATCTATAAGTACGAGGATTGCTATGCTCGAACTTAAAAGGTAATTTCTATTATCATATATTATGACTTTCCCCTTTTACCAAGACTGAATAAAGAATTTTTTGAGGTAAACGGAGGACTTGAAGGCAAACTATATGCTGAATGAATATTAAAAGGAAAAAGTTCACATAAGGATGGAACTTTATAATGTAGAACTACATATGCACCTAAAAAATCCATTAGAAAATGTAGTTTTAATGTTGAAAAACCCTTTGATTGATCATCTCGACATCAAGATGTACGATCATAAAAAATAAAAAGATTTTAAGTCTTAGAAATAGTGCATTTTACAACATATTATGTACACCATCCATTTTCAAGATTTTCATATGTTTATAGATCTAACTATTTTTTAAATTTAAAATTTATAATTAAATATAAATATAGATTTTGAGATA